CTGTGGGTAGAGGGGCTGCACTACCCCCTACTGGCCAGAGGGTGTTATAGCAGACAGTCAGTGTTGAGAACCGTCTGGTTTTTCTTTGCATTTCGTTTTTTTTAAACAACTACCTCCATTCTGCTGCTGTCTCAAGATGAGAACAAGTCACCTGATGATGACAAAAATCAGATGCATCCCACAGATCTGGAGCCAGTTTTTGTTTCTGAAGTTGTGCAGAGGGAAAGTGGACTGACCCATCACTGAATGAAAATAAAACTGGAGTGGACTCACCACAACCAGCAGCCAGATACCCCTCTGAGTGGTCAAATCTCCTTACAGCACAAAGCAAGAAAAGCGTTTCCATGTGCAATTTGTTTCAGTGAAAAACAGGCAATGTCCTATATTTGCAACAAGCTCTCCTCCGTATTTCATATCAGACAAAACCTTGTTTTGAAAAAAATAAATACAAAAAAAACAAAAAAAGTGTTTACAAGTTTACATTGTGCCGTGCTGCATATGCATAACACCCTCACAGTCAACTGATCTGGACTGTGATACGTCTTGACACAAAGTGTCCTGATAAAATGTCTGGTTTTTTTTGTTTTTTTTTTAAAGAAAACAAAGCAGATTTGATCAAGCAGATGAGGGTTGAGAAGAGTTGCAGAGGGTGAGTGAAGCGCTAACAGTATCTGCTCCCTGATGCCAAAGGCCATGCCAGGGGAGTTGGGTCCAGGGTGGAGGAGGGGAGCTGCCAAGGACAAAGCCCTCCTCCAGGGGGTCGAGAGGGAAAAAGTTGTGTACTTTTTTTTCTTTGGGTGCTGGGGTAACTGTAATTCTTTTAGGAATGACTTCAAGGAGAGTTATCTCTACATAGGGGGGTTTTTTGGTAAGAGTCCTAGGATTTTTTTTTTTTCTTCACAGACTCTGGTTTGGTTTGTGGAAAAGCTTTGGAAATGTTGTGTGGAAATCTACAATGTGAAAACAGTAAAAACACACACTAACAATCAACAGGGGCACTTATGATTCTGGAGGTCCCCGACATCTAAAGGCATGCTAGATGGGTAGAAAGTTAACAGGCGCACAGAGGAAATAAAGACTTTACTGCAATAACAGGCAATGCCCGAAATAATGGGCATTAAGGACTGGCACTGTGTGACAAGAGGACAAATTAGAGTCATAGAATGGAGTCCACTCTTACAGTGTGTACTGCCTCTTGAGGAAATGAGATTCATATTTGGGACTAAAAGGATTACAAGGGAGAGAGCGTGAAGGAGGACAAAAGGAGTCTGCAGATAGGTCCAGTATTATTGGAAAAAAAAAAAAAAGAAAGAAAAAAAGAAGAAGAATTTGGGGTTGCTATGGGAGCGCTGAGGTTTTGGTATCCGAGGCATGCTGCCGTGCCCTAATCCTCCATGCACATGGGCAGGTTGACGAAGGTGAAGACGTTGTACTCGATCATGACGGAGAAGCAGAGGAAGATGGCGTACAGGATGAGGACGTACAAGCCCAGCTTCACGTCCAGCCTCCATTTATTCAGGTGGATGCCCAGCACCTGCATGTATACAAATACATCAGAATGGCTTGTGCAGGCTCTAGTACGTCTGAGTTAAATACTGCACCCTATGATGTATTCACTTCAGTTTTATTCTATCGCTTTCCTGTACTGACTGAATATCATGTAACTGAATTGTACAGCCAATACGCACAAGATGCAAATCCTAAAATGGAGGCATTTTTGTCTCCTTTGATCAGACTACACTATAGCAGTGTGTCCATCATTCTGTTGATGAAGTTTTCCACAGCTGGCACATTACTGATCTGTGTGTATGTGCGAGAGAGAGATGCCAAGATCAGAAAAATATGGACACACACACTGTTTATGTATTTGTGAGTTTGTAGAAACTGCATGTTTAACTGAAATGACTCCAGTAATTGATTTAAAAAAATAAATAAATAAATAACAGTACTTAGTAAAAGTAACATCTCTTTATCAACTGTGTGGAAAACCTAATGTTTATTTGATTTTACTACTTTTATTTGTCCCACTTTCCGACTAGACTTGCAATAAAAGGATAATTTTGGTTTAATTTCTCCAGTAAGAATCTCACATTCACACTGCATGCAGTATAACTACCAGAATATTGTTGTTTATTCCAAGAAAAAGGCATTACTTCCTCTGCACTACATGATTTCTTTACAGGAAAAATCCCACATATTGACAATACTAAATTTCTAACATTCAGTCACTATTGCATAACAGTGCATCAGTTGGTGATGAGTAGCCAAACAGGGATGTTATTTATCTGTATCAAAGTACTGTTGATTTGTTATTTTAAACACGTATGGTTCACTACAGCAGTGAACTGGGTTATCTTTCTGGAAGTGGTCAATATGTGGAACCGGTGTAGCGTAAACATCATTAACTATTGCTCACCGTGAGGGCCACAGAGCCCAGCAGGAGCACCACCGAGTACACCAGGCCCCGACTGTTAATCATTACCTGCAACACACAAGATCGAGAGATCAACAATTCATCTGCAGCTCTACAATCTTATCATTCAGGAGCAGAGATAAGGATGGACTGGATTTCGGTTGCATCTTGCACTCACAACAATACAGAATCTGAGTTATTGTAAAGTAAACAAGCTCCTTACCTCTGATCCATAGCTGACGCACATGGTCTGTATTGCCCATGGGACCCCAAGTCCCACTAGAATATCAAACACATTGCTGCCAATAGTGTTGGACACCGCCATGTCTCCCAAACCTGCAACAAAACCAGAGGTAGTTATTTAAGAAGCAACTACAACTTTAGGCAAGCATGTGGAGTTCGTCTTTGAGACTTTCAGGTCAAATAAAGCACTTTATTTCCAACATTTTGCTGTTCTGTACTTTGATATTCACAAGGGCCCTAACCTTATTCAGCTGGGAAGGTAGTGACGCAGTGCTACACTGTACTGTCTATAAACAGCTCTGCACTATTTTCTCTTGTTCCTGTGCTTTTTGTTCAACTCTTTACATGTAAGAGTGTGAAAACACATTTCTGGACTCTTTAAAGTATGTTACACTAGATTTGTAAAAGCTAATTAAGTACACCTCTTAATAGATCTGGATTTCTGTAAGTTTAATCAATTAGACCTAATATGCATGTAAATGCTTACAATGTATAGTTGGATATCTTAATATCTTGATTTCTTCATCCATGTTCTTCTGTCTATCCACTTATTAAATATCACTTATCACTAACAAGACCCTGTACCTGTATTTGTACTGCTTGTTTAATCCAACAGCCAATGAAAAATGTGTACCTTGTAACCACAACATCCATTTTGCTCTCCACTGCATAATAATAAATCCACAAAAAGGGCAATCTAAAAATATTTCCGAGAGAAAGGTGTACCTTGCCGAGCCACAATGAGGCTGGCTATGCAGTCTGGGACACTGGTGCCAGCGGCCAGGAAAGTGATGCCCATGATGACATCAGGGATTCCCAGAGTGTAGCCAATTATAGTCACCTGGGAGAAATACAGAGTGTGAGAGCTCAAAAATAACATTCTCCGCTTCCTCGTGTTAACCTTCAAACCAAATGTCAATGTTCCCTCACTTAGCTTAGCAAAAAACACACAACTAAATAACCTGTCAGCCGCGGTTGGCTTTAGGTGAACATTCTGTTGCTAGCAACCGCTACTAACACAGTTCTGTTGCAGGTAAGCTAACATTATTACATCCACCATTTGGAAGGTGAAGATCAGATCGATTTTCGAGGCTTATTACTGGTTTGTTAACGAGAAAAGGTTGCATGGAATAGCCAGAAAAGCTTCAGGAACACTTTTATTTTTTTGGTTTACAAATATTTGTTGGATTATTTTAGAATAAAGGTGATAAATTGAACCACAGATAGTATTGTAGCCTGTTGTGTATTAGCCTGTTTGGAAGCTGCAGTATAGTCTGGTTCACTGGTTCTCAAACTCTGGTGCATGTACTACTGGTGGTAAGCAGAGATACTATCAAAATACTACAAAATTCAAACTATGAGATCGATGAAATGTCATTTAAAAGTTTGGTTTCCTGTAATTTTCTTTTTCTCCCAATATCAGCATTCTAAGTAGTCACATTCATGCATGTTGTAAAAAGTAAAATGAAAGGTTCAAAAACAATGCGGTCATGGCTCCAACAAGAACTATTATGAAGAAAAGTACAGATCAGGAGAATCCCTTTATTACCGACAATAAATTATCTTATTATTAAACGCTAAAAAAAGCCTACTACTCCAACTGTCTGTAGTTCAATAGAGTCAGTCTAAGCTACTCTATTTTATTGCTGGTCATGACCGTGGTGCTTGGAGAGTATTACACGGTGCAAAAAGTGAGGAACGCTGATGTGCTTATTTTATTTACCACCAGAGGGATCTACAAGAAGACGGAAGTCAGTTATTGCAGTCATCCACTGGCTCAGGTCTACAACTCCTTAGAGAGATATTTATTACTTATATTCACATCTCAATTAAATATGTTTGTATAGGGGATATTAATAACATTAAGTGGCTGTAGACTGAAGCACATGCAGCCATGGGGGAATCGCTCAGTGGATTTCTTGCGGATTGTAAATGCTGCGTCTTAAATTGCAGACTAAATCCCATCAATGACAATTTTACATCTCCATCCTCAAGAGGAAAAACTGTTGTGGATTATATAATAACCCCAATGATTGTACACTTTGGATCTACTGGGCTAAAGCCTGAGTACATTTCTAAATCACAAGATTACTATAGAAGATGTGTGATAATTTAAGTAATTTGTCAATTGTTTCGGCACAACAAGTAAAAGTAAATACTAAGGTGTCCTGGTAAGTGCCTTACTCTGAAAAACCAATAAAGGTCTCAACTTTCCACACAAATATTGCACTCACCATCCAGACCATGAAGTAGGAGAAGACAGCAATCCAGACAGTGGACAGGATGAAGGAGACCATGAAGAATTTCTCCCAGCGAGGCTTGGCACAGTTCGGGACGGTAAGGAACAGCAACAAGAGCAGAGGCCACGAGAGCAGCCACTTCACCTTGCTGCCAATACCCCCTGCAGCAGACATGCACATTAGCAGATTAGCCTCCTCAGGTCTTTGATCAAAGGATATTGATCAAAACACATTTACAGTTTACAGTTTACAGTATGCTTTCTCTTTAACAAGCGGTGGGAGAGAAAAGTGTATTGCCCAGATGACATTTACTAAATGATGTTTTCTAAAAATAAATAAAAAGTTCTGCAAACACCACATTACATTGTAAAATTCATTTTAATCATTACTGTCAACAAACCTGACCTGTGGCCTCTTTCTCAGGTCAGTGCCACTGTTCAGACCATATTTCCCACAAATCTTTTCATGTAAAAACCCAAATATGGTTTCTTTCTCATCAATTATGTGAATATTCTTTCCAGCAACTTGATTGGTAATGTCGCTCTCAAGCAGACATATTGTCCTTTGTCTATTGTAAGTGAAAACATGTTTCTTACATTTAATTACACACACACACACACACACACACACACACACACACACCTAATTTAAAGCAAGATCATCAATAACTACTGAAGTGGAAGGTCTTAAAAGGACGATCTAAATGGCGGTTTCAAAATTATGTGATTCTTGTTTCACTTTAAAAGGATTCATCCATGTATGCCAAATTAAACACATTCATCAGTTAAATACACAGATTATATACTTGGAACATGAAACGGCGAGATGGTGTCGTTTTCCTCCGCCTCGGTGGGTTTGTCCTCTGGCACGTTTCCATTCTCGATTTCAACCTTCCCGTCAATCACTTGTGTCTCCACTCCATTGGCGGCTTGGACCAACTTCTGGCGCTTTCAGAAAAAAGAAACTAAGTCAAAGAGCACTAGAGCAGACACGCTGCTACCGACTACTGTGCTACCGCCATATTTTTAATGTTTCTGGAGTCAGAAATGAAAAACACAAACACATGTATACTGTGTGAATGAGATAAGGAGAGTCTGGGGTTTATACAAAAAAAAAATCTGAAAATAGCATACACTCAAAACAAACACAGAAGTAGCAAGTAACTCCTCTTATTGGAGCAGCAACACGCAGCTGTACCTCTGTAATGATGAGGCGACTGGCCATGCGCAGACGGGTCTTGGGTCCAAAATGGCTGGTGACCATAACGCGGAGGCCAGCTTCTGGAAACCTGAACTTGGAAGGACTAGCGTTCATGATCTCGTCCACCATCACCACCGATCCGCGGCTGTAAGCCTTGCTTGGCTTGACTGAGGGTTGTGGTGATACAAATATAAAAAACAAGTTTAATGAATGAATGAATGAACTGTGCAACAATCTACCAGATGAGACAAACATAGAACTGTAATTTCACTCATTTCTATCTATTGTCTTTGTTTAATTCAAGTGCATGTAGTTGATGCCTTACTGACAGTGAAATAACGTTTATTTTTAATCAATTCTAACTCTTTGAAGTAGTACAAGTACAAATTAAAACTTAAGACAATACTGAATAAGTACTTAAGAGGGGGGATAGCTATCGAAATCTCTGTACTGACTATAATGTTTGTAGTGTCATTTTGGAGCCTGCAGCGCTACACTGTCCTGAGCCAAGTTACTAAGGAATATTAATGAAGGCTGAGCAAGAGCCATTTTGTCACCATGTCAGAGTTAAAGCTGCACCAGGCAAGATTTTTATGTCAACATACACCATTTCCCCATTACCCTAAATCAGGACGTGGGTTCAGTGCTGACAGTTCAATGCCTACACAAATCAAAACCTCAGAGCAAAACCGTCCTGTAAACAACAGTGTGAATGTCTCGTCTAGACAAGGTGGGGTGCTCTCCAAAGCTCTGGAAATCATTCCTCCTTTCACTGCAGTCCCTCATCTTTTCCTGTGCGACCTGGAAATTCATGTTGCTTGTTGTCTCAACAGAAACGAGGGATGTGATTCTTGGTAGTATTGTTTGATAGAGCGCAAGTGTTGGCTTTTATGTGATCATCATTTTCATTCCAGTATCGCATAAAATAGTGTGTTCAGTCTAATTTACTATAAAATAGGTCTCTTAATAGGACTCACCTGCAAATACATTAGACTACATAAACATACATATATTAACAGAATGTAGCACAGGTACGCATGTAATTATGAATGGACTCTGGATCTGCAGAAAACACTACATGTGGTTTTGATGGAGTAGCAGATTTAACGGTCACAAAAGATTTCTTCTCTCTTTCAATTCCCTCTATCCTTATGTCATGCAAGAAAATAGGTGTAAAATCTTAAAGAATCACCCCTGGACTCAGTGATGAACCCCCCCTAATTTTCATTCCTTTGGTATAAACCATTGCGCACCAGCTGGGTTAACATGAGTGTGTTGTGTGCAGTTACTGACATGTGATTTCTGGCTACTGAACTTCAAATAGCTTCCCTAAATTGCCTGGTGCAGCTTTGAAGTTTGCCTACCAGTTGTGAATGTTAATGGCTGGACCAAGAGTGATTTCAAAAGCTGTGACTTGAAAGATGTAATGATGACTGTTATGCAGGTGGCCGACACATTAGAACACATGGTCCCGTGTACTTTTACGATTTGTTCTCCGACAATAATACACATCCTAAAAATGTTTTATTGGCATCCTATAACTCCTCATCTGTTCTGTGCTCACAATATAAGATGCAGTGTATGGGCAATAAAAAAAGTTCTACAGTACACTTATTAGTTTAACTCAGCCTTAATTTGACTAATTATGCATGCAAGAATGCACATAAATTAACTGTGTAAACAGAGCCGGCATAAATATTTCCTCTTGTGAAATTCATTACCACTTCAGGAGTGAGTGGGTCTACGCCCCAGAGACCGGCAGAAGAAAAGTAGTATGCAAGCAGAAAGAATTGGCACACAGCAGCACAACACTGTTGACAATAAGCAAGAGTAGGTTTAGTAAGGCTAAACAGACAGGCATGTTAACACTATTGCAGCCAAAGTGGGAAGAGTTAAATTGGGGTTAAATGTCAAAGATTAGACACTTCTAAAAAGGGTCAAAGACAGGAAAGGGAAGCAGTAGAGAACTGTGGCTATGAGGAAATCTCATTTATTTTATTTTTATATTTTTTATTTAAAAAAGTCGAATTTTCGAGTTTTTAATATGTTTGAAACCTAAGACAACAAAGTCCCCTGACATTAAACTGCATTACCAACGGAAGATTAAAGAATATCTTCATTATGCTGTTCCCATTATTTAAAAAAAAAATAAAGAGCCATTTTGTGCCCCCACCGTATGCTCAGATAAGCAGTTGCTTATCACCTAGAAAAAGGACTTAGTAGGAAGAGAAAATGAATAGAGGACTGTAACCTTTAAAAGTCCCACAAGAAAAAAGGGGGAAATCTAATAAAGTGGTCTCTTCAGGTAATGCAGTTCACTGAGGTCAAAGGACTGAAGTTTTCTTGATCTTTGGAGAATTTAAGAAAGTGCGGTTCTGCAGAATCATATTAAAAAAGGAATGGTTTGACATTTTAAGAAATGTTTTTGTTTGTGTCCTTGCTGAGAGTTGAGAAGATTGACACTGCTCGTGTCTGTATGCTTAATATAAAGCTACAGCCAGCAGCCAGTTAGCTTAGCATACTGAAGCATAAGAAGAAGAAACAGGTGGGAACAAGGGCGAGGCTGGACCACTACTAAAGTTCCCTAATTAACATGTTATCTCTTGTTTGTTCAACTCATATTAAAAACAGCTGTAAAACCACACTTTTGAACACTTCTATTATGCGCCAGATTATTTCTTGGCCTGGCTCTATCACCATTGGACAGAAAGCTATTCATCTCCCCCTGTTTCCAATCTGTTTGCTAAGCTAACTAGCTGTTGGCTGTAGCTTAATTTTTAGTGGGCAGATATGAGGGAGGTATCAGTCTTCTCATCAACTGCCAGCAAGGAAGCAAATTAGCGTATTTCCCAAAATGTTGAACTATTGTCTTAAGTACATTTCAGCAGAATACAGTAGAAGCTGAAGCAATTCAACCGAGGGAAACAGCCACGACCTTCAAGACAAATCATCCAATATTTCATGGCCCATGAACCCCAATTTATTACAAACAACATCTGATTATTTTTCCTGGCAGAGAATAGTCTTGGGTACCCAGCCTGTCTGATTAACCTTACCTGTCGAGAGTAAAGGCGATGACGGGTCGTCATCCCAAACATAGTCATAACTAGTATTACCGTCCTCCATCTCACTGCTGGCCGCAGCGTTACCGTTGGCCACGTTCTTCTTCTTTGAATTCCCCATGAAAAATCTCTGCATGCTGGAGTTGAATCTAGTAAACAGATGGAACAGAATCCCTAAATTAGAGAGATACTGAAATAGTTCAGCCCAGAGTCCACAAGATAAAGAAAGGAACAAGATGGGGCTTTTAGTGTCAAGATTCACACTTGCAAATAGGATTCATGAGCTTCAGATGAAAGGCTCCAACTTGTTTGAAAAATAGATATACAGTAGCATGTATTAATTAACCAAAATAAGCAGTTGGCATACTTCTATAGAATACATTTACAATTTAGGTGGCCTACTTAAAAAAAAAAAAAACATCAGCATTACATTACACAAAAAATTGCCTAAATATGCTGATCAACATTAAAATAGAAAAAGAAGAAAAAGTTAAATTCCCAGAAGCCAATCACAAGACTGCCACACAGGCCTTCAGTGAGACCATTTGAGTGCCATTATATAAAAATGGATCACAAATACTGAGCACACTGTTGCTGCTGCCTTTGAACAAAATGTGTGTAGAAGTAACACTGACAACTTCCCAAGAGCCACTCCATCCCTTTCATAGCTTCTACACCTTCAGAAGTGAACATTAAACCTAATGATGGCTTCTGAAGGTGTATCAAAAGAGACTTCAGAGATATATTCTCCAAGTATACTGGAGCACATGAACCCATAGACGGGATGCCCGGGTATCATTCAATAAAGTTTGTTGCCTGTGAGGACTCTCCTGATTCCAGAGACTCCGAGAGCATTGGACAGGTCTTTTTGTTTGATGTACCCTTCATCTAAAAATGAGTGTAAATTAATTCACTGCTAATAATGTTAATTCCACATTTTGTTTAATGGTACGTTAGTTGTTCCATATCTAAATTGAGCATCTGAGGATAGCGGTTATATTGTGTACAGTAAAGCCAAAATAAGGTTATAAAAGATTGACTCAAAAATAAAAACTGATTACTCTTACTTTATTGAGGTGAAGTAAAAGTAAAAAAGTAAAGTAAAACTGAGTGCCAAAACAAATAAAGTTTTTCCTTACATCTACAGAATGTCACTTGAAGATGGAGATAATGTTATACAGATAGAAGCAGAGTGTCCCAAGCTAGATTTTCAGTTTTTAGACCCAAGTATACACAACTAATGACATTTTAAAAATCATTGCATGTTTCCCGATGTGGTTATATGTTTAACAAATAGTTTGTTATTGGTAGCAATGCGTTCTATTTGAAGCGAGAAAAACAAAATCACAGCCGAGCCCCGGAAGGTCACCTCAGAGCACCGATCGCGCTATATAAAACCCACTTTACTCCATTTTGACTGGAATAGCCCAAAACGGTCAGTGGATATTTTTGGGAGAGGGGAGACATATGACAGCATATCCTACAGTAAGCACTTCTTTCCTCCAAATGAGAAAGGAGAGGAATGATCCGGTTAAGCCTGTGCTCTTAGCCACTGCAGAGGGAGAAAGATTAAACTCTTATGGCAGGGAGAGAGCAGGCTGCTGCTGAGTCTAACACAGATTACCAGCTGGACAGAGACAGCGGCACAGGACGACGTGGTAGGCATTATGCAGTCGGGACTATAAAGACACAAATATGGCGTAATAGATGGAGTCTGTATTCCCCTGCATAATACAGTAAAAACAGACAAGGAGACAAGATGTTCTCGGGGCAGATTGTAACCCAAAATAGTGATCAGATGATACATAGCCCAGACAACTGATCCCTTTATAATCTCAAATTCAATTCAAAAGAAAGGCTGAAATATGACAGATTCAAGTATGTTTCATGGGACGATAGTTTTATGAATTAAAATATGTCTGAAATGAGGATTTAAGTTTAGTGGTTTGATCTTAATAGATAATTGTCAACTGGAAGATTCTATGTGCAGCGTTTGATATAATACTTACATTATTCAAAGTGAATATAACATTTTGATATCTAGCATAATTCAAAGAGCCACAAAGGAGGAACTATAATCTTTAAAGTATCTCTCCACCAGAAGGCTCCTGGGTTGAATCTTCAGTTAACATCTGGGTAGACGACATGAATGAGACCCTCCCCTCCAGCTGCAAACCCACTCTTCTCTTTTGAAACTACAGAGTGCACAGTTGGTCTGGTCATACTCGTGAGCCCACAGGTATTAGTATGTAAGAGTTGAAGCATCTCTCCTCACGCGCACACACACACACTCTCTCAACTATTGTAATTAAAAAGGTCCAGTGTGTAACATTGAGGATCTAATGGCGGAAATGGAATATAATATTTAAAAAAGGTTTGTTTTCATTAGTGTTGTCACTTGAAAATAAAGAGTTGTTTTGTTTTTGTTACCTTAAAATGAGCCTTTTATATCTACAGACGCTGCGGGTCACCTTACATGCTGAAGGGACAAACCAAACACTCTAAAATAGGGGGAGGGTGAAGGAAGGGAGTTGCAATCTGCAACTACACCACTAAAAATCCTACAGAGTGGACTTTTAAGTGCAATTTTGACACACTTGTACCTTACTTAATAATTTCAGTTTTGTGCTGCTTTATACTTACTACTCTACTATATTTCAGAGGGAAATATTGCACTACATCTGTCTGACAGCTATAGTTAATTTTCAGATTAAAATTGTAATATAAAAAACCCAAAACAAACGTATAAAATGTCTCGTTAAAAATCAGTGGCTCCCAACCTTTTTGGCTTGTGACCTCTTATTAAAAGTTAGATGGGGCCACGTTTCATATGTCTGAATTGAGATGATATGTTTTTGTGTGTAGTTTGTGTAGCAGAACTTTGTCTATTTCCTTCTTTTCTATACCATTAATCATCTTGTGACCCCTCACATTAATGTTGGGAACCACTGGACTAAACTGCCTAACTGTGTATAAAAGTAGCTAAAACTAGCCTCATCTCCACCAACTACAACAGTAAATTGCCGCCAATGTATCGATATTAATAGTCACATAAATGTATTTTTCTTTTGATACTTTAATTC